ACTTATCAGTCCTGCTTTCTATCTAGCCAAGCCAGTTAAGTCCAAAACACCAATAACAGCCTCTGCAATATGAATCATTATTCTCAATCAAACAGACCACATCGTACCATAAAATAGAAAATAACATATCTACAAGATTTGGCCAAATGTGGCTGTGAATAGGGGGAACAGTAATCAATGGACTAGGGATAACTCAAGAATAGTAAATCGTATAATAATAGTCTATAGGTCAAAATAAACCTTATAATAAGAGGGACACGAATATAATTAGTTTAGTTACTTAACAACTATACAATAGGAAATATACATATCATATTGGTTCATAAACAGTCCTCAGAAGTTATCATTCATAAATCTGCACGGGATCTAACACTACATTTAATATTCATCAACATCTTACCAAGAAAACTAGAAAGCAAATCACTTGAATAGTGTTAAAAAAGTCTCCCTTTCCAGTTGATAAATGAACGATTCATTCATCCTTTCTAAAAAAAAACAAATTACAAACCAATTACAGATTCCTAGACAATTTCACACAATCTTCATCCAATACTGTTGATGAATTACTATCTTACACACAACCTCGTTAACTTCATAAATTAGAAGTTCTCAATAAAACCATAGACAATCCATTTTAAAGCTAGTCACGATTTTGTATATAATAATAGTTATTATTGTTTATTTAGATGACTGGTATGAATGGTTAAAAACATAGGTTTTTAATAAAATCATGTTAAGTGAAGTAAATTCAAATTTCACAGGCAGCAATAGTTTCTTTATAATTCCCTATGTATCTTATCAACAAGTGTTGACAAACAGGATATCTAGGTGTACGACTTCCTATTATTGTCTCCAACCACCTTACATGGGAAATATTAATTATTTATTCAGTAGAGAGCATCTAATATTATCTCTATATAGTTTTAGGAAGTGTCTCTAATAAAAAAACCCTATAGTAATTCCAAGGATAGAGTTGTTGAATACTCGAACAAAGAGTTCTGACTGAAATTTAATATTAACAGTATTATAGCAACCAATCTACTGTTTATCTTATATTCCAATAAAATGGGTAAAATTGCTGAAATTCTTGACTATTGAATTAAGTAGATGAATCGTTTAGTGGATGAACGATACTTTTACACGCCGAAATTGTAAAACCATCAATTTTGTACTATTCATAAACAGATTATCTAGTAAATTACAAAAGATATGTGCAGCTACGAATTTATACATTTTTAAGTTTCACCCATTCTTCTTGATCTGATAGAGAAAACCAACTGTAATTTTATTGACCTGATTTCTATATAGTGATTTTTGAGTTAATAGGTTAAAAGAGTATAAGATATAAACTGTAGGTTATTTATAGTATGTGTATCTAGACTCCTCTACACGCAACAACAAATGCAGGAGAAGACGGTCAGTGTAGTAGCAGCCTCAGCAACAGTAGATCTCAATATACACAAGGGGAAAAGCAGGATTCTCTGATACAATACAGCATGCACCAATCGAATTACACTTGACGGAGAACCTTTGGAGGATGTGAAAAACTTTACATATCTGGGCAACATAATCGATGAACACGGTAGATCTGATGCAGATGTGAGGGCGCGGATTGGCTACGCAAGAGCATCATATTTACAACTGAAGCACACCTGGAACTCAACCACCACCAAAGTCAGAATTTTCAATACAAATGTCAAGACAGTTCTATTGTATGGGGCAGAAACTTGGAGAACAACGAAAGTCACCATTCAGAAGATACAAGTGTTTATCAACAGTTGTCTACTTAAAATACTTCGGATCCGTTGACCAGACACTATCAGCGGAATTCTACTGTGTTAGAAAACAAACCAGATTTCAGCGGAGGAAGACATCAGGAAGAAGCGCTTGAAGTGGATAGGACACACATTGAAGAAATAACCCAACTGCATCACAAGGCAATCCCTCACTTAGAGTCTTGAAGGCAAAAGGAGAAGATGAAGACGAAACAACACCTTACACAGAGAAATGGAGACAGACATGAGATAAATGGATAAAAGTTGGATAGAACTAGAAAGGAAGGCCCAGGACAGAGTGGGTTGCAGAATGCTGGTCTGCGCAGTATGATCCATTGGGAATAACAGACGTAAGTATGTAAGTAATCTAGACTCGTTTTGTAATATGCTTCAAGTAAATTAAAAGATTACTAGAAAAACAGGCTGACAATATTGTTTTAGTGAACTAACAAGGAAATTCAAATGTTTTGTTAATGTTCAGGAACTATTCATTGAAAAGTATTCTGCTGTAGCTCATGATGTTGTAAGATATGAATTAATGACTTTACATTAATGAAGTTTTTTTAAAGATTTTGATAACTCATACATAAAGATGAGTAGAAATAATGGCGAGACTATAACTTATAAACGAACCGATCAGATATAAGATAACGAATCTTGGATTTTGGCACTAAATTCATTTATTATACATATGGCTAAATAGCGTTTTGGCATTATAGCTGGTGTCAGTTTGTGATGAAAACCCTAACCATCAACTATGAATCATAACTCTAATTCCTCAAACTGGTTGATAACCCTCATTTAGTCCTAGTGAGTAGGGGGTAATTCTCAAAGTCACTAAGACATAGCTTAAAGGTTTTATTTATTTATTTATTTATTTAAACACATATATATTGGTACAAAAGGGCACCAGGTACATATGCGCCACACAAAATAATGAAAGTAGGAAGAGAAGGGATGAAAAGATAAGGCGGACTAAAATGTACAACCAGAAGACTCTTTCAAATAGGAAAGTAAGAACCATACTTTATGTAGAAAGTAAAAGAAGGTTGCAGCAGGATCGCCACTGGTTTCTATTCTGAGCCATATCTGATAACGTCTCTAGCCACTGTGTTGCACCATCTCTCGGACCCCAACCAAGGAGTCGTGAAGGACCAACAGAAGTTAGCCCTTTGCAGCTCTCTTTCATGCCACGACACCAGAACGGCGTACGCGGTTTCAGAAAGACTGCCTCAGTATTCATTATCGGTGGAAGCATTCACTTTCAACCAGACAGTGACTGGAGATCGTTTAGATAGGACAGATTTTCCACCAAGAGCGAGCTGATGCATAAGTTGAAGAGTAAGGTTACACAAATTGGGGGTAAAAGGGGGTGAATTAGCGATATGGTAAATAATAATAATAATAATAATAATAATAATAATAAGTAATAATAATAATAATAATGATAATAATAACGTAAATTGTCTTGCTTATAATATGAGCAGGAATAGAATCGTCAATAGAGTTCGTCATTTCATTCATTTGTGTGTGGGCTGTGATACTGCCCGGGTGCCCAAACCGAAGCAGGTGGTTTTCTTAGGGGGCCACACCCGGAGCCTTTGACCTGAATGTCTGATCCACAAGGCAGTGGAGCATCGTGAGGAGATGCAGTCCCATGGTAGCCGGTGACTAATGACAGGTTCTTCCGCCATTCGTTCCATCAGGAAACTGGAGCCCATGTGCACCATTGGTTTGGAATCAGGGTTTTCCAACTCCCCTAGGTGGACCCTCCGTGTCCACCAATCCGGTTATAGCGCCGGACATTCGCTTTTAGTCCTCTCACTTTCGTAAACAACACCCCCACCACGAGAAGGCAGTGAGTAGGACTTCCCTGGCAGAGGCTATATATTCGCTGGCCATATGAGAGCATTTCGAGAGGGAGAGTAGACTCTCCCCACTCTCGGCCGTACCAGGGCATTTGGGGGCAGCTTAAAGGTTGTCCATAAATTATAGTTTCCCTGAAATAATTACTGAAAAAATTAGATTGACGTCCAGTTTCTTTGGATTCAACGTTAATGTTATCCATGAAACATCTAATATCATTTTCTAAACTTGAAAACAGGTGAAATTTTCAACAACAAAAAGATTGACTCTTTTCATCTCATGTATTTTTCTAAAGAGTGTTGATTACGGGCCTCGATTAACTTCACTCTAGTTGTCCTTTGAAATAATTTTGGTTAAAATCTCTTTGTTATGCAAACGATCCTCGAGAATTTTAGACATTTTGACGACATAATCTGAGTTACCATTGAAAACTGGGAAATACTTAACAGTTGTTTTATTTTTATATGTAGTGTAATTCATGAGTCTATTGAAGTTAGACCACCATGGAAAACCTGGAAGCACTAGACGGCCGTTTCGTCCTATTGTGAGACTCTTCAGCAGTGCGCACCCGCTTTATTTCTGCTTTATTTCTTGAAAGTGTACACCTATGACTTTGAACCAAATCACACTTAGAAAGTCCTGATTTCATTACTATAACGACAAAATTAGTCCGTTGAATCGGAAATCATTTGCTACACTTTTTAAAAAATTTTCATTAATTCACAAGATATCCTAACTGGTTTAGAGATCTTCATCATAATTTAAAGAAGTCTGTAATGTTTGTTACCTATGTTGATCGATATAAGTATTGTATAACACCAGTCAGAAGTGTAATGCCTTTAAAATGAGGATCGTGAAGACTGAACTGAACTAGACCAAAACGGAAACATAAAAGAACTGAGAATTGGAAGAATCATAAAGAATGTAAATGATAACTGATTGAAGATATGCAAATGAAGTATTTAATGTATGATTTTCTTATTTTAAGAAGTCACTCTGTAATTTCGTATTTAAAAAATATATAAATTGGTTATCGCCACCAAGTCCTCGCTCGTTAAAGTATTTAATGAATTGTTGTTATTTTCTTGGGGGGGGGGAAATTTCGAAGCTACTACTCAAACACCAAAACATTTATTCAATACTTAGTATTACTTGTTTGAATCTTCCCATTGACGTTTAGGATTACAACTGGTCAGTGCATACTTTGCGTATTGCCTCGATATAGCCTTAATTCACAGGTACATCCAGCTGACCAGTCCCAAATAGGAGGAAACGCGCGTCCTGCATTCCACTGCTCGCCACTATCCATCTTTGCTTACAATTTATTCATTACATTCAACTGTTTAATGAAAAAAATATCTCTCCAATTACTTCATAATTTCAATGCATTCAATGATGATCATTAAAAAGAAAGTGGTTACTTGATTTCCAATGAAATCAAGCAGATTTTTATTGCGGTAAATTTTTTTTGTTCATAGAGTGGAACAATTTGTTTCATAATAATAATAATTCATTAAAAAAAATAATCAATAAAATAATGTCCGATTGTTTACCATATAAAAAATACACAATGTTTAATTAAATAATAATAATGATCGTAATAATAGTAGCAATTCTGTCTGGAGCCCATCTGAGACTACTGCCATTCCCGAGCCCGAATAAAGGAGGAAGGTTTGGCATGAGATTAGCATCCACATACCGTAGAAAACTAACTCATAATAGTAGTAGTATGAAAGTGTTTTTTTGTTGATTTTATTAATAATAAAAACAAAAAAAAAGAAAATTAATAATCTCTCAAAATCATACACAACAAAAAACTGAATAAAGAAAACAGTTGACAAATAACAAAATCTCAATCAAATAGTGATCATTTAAGATGATGATATGTTGCTAGGATGTTTATGTTTTGTTTTTTGAAATGATATTCTTAAATGGGATTGAATTTTGTTTGATTTTCTTTTGTCATTTTCTTCTTCTTCTTCTCTTTCTTCTTCCTTTCATTCACCAACAAGTGTTAATAATATACGTCGGTAATCTCCACTGGTATCATCCTGAAATTAAAATATACACAACAAAATATTGTTTATTTCCCTCGCATTTACTATGTACACAGCATACAAACTCAGTGGTGAGACTGATCAGTTGCAGTTCTAAACATAAATGGGAAGATTCAAACAAACAATACCAAGTGAATTTTAACTTAACCCCATTGCACAAGCAATTGGCTATCAGGACTCAGTAGCCGCGTGAATAACGTAATGGCGTTTGAAGCGAAAGGTAATGGGTTCGAGTTTCAGAGTGAACATTAACTCTGAGATGTAGGTACATCCAGTTGACGAGTCCCAAATAGGACGAAATGTGTGTCCTGGATTTCACTGCTAGCCACTATTCATCTTTGCTTACAATGCTAGTGAATTCAGGCTATATCGATGCAATACGCACAGTATGTACCTATGCCAATTAGAAACTAACCAGTTGCAATCCTAAACATTAATGGGAATGTTCAAACAAACAATACTAAGTGAGTGGTTAAATGTTCAATTACAATTTAAACAAAGGTCAACTTTATAGGGATTTGAAACATTAATCACTTGTAATCAGTTTGATACTGGTGACTTGTATATATTGCATAAATTAAGCAATGTTCTTGTAGTGTCGTTTACTATGTTAAGCCAATATAGCTTATTCTAACTTCCGGATAGACCGGTTTATTCATTCTTCTTGAGTCATATTTTGACGTTGTCAATTATTCGCTTACTAACCTTGACTGTTTTTATATGAGCGTTTATGTGATCATTTCTTATCCTATTCATCACATCTCTGTAGCTTATTTCTGTTAGGCTATAAATATCGATTAACGCTTGATTAAATCGAGTTGGCTAACTTGTCTTCTGCAAGCTGCTTCGCTCTTCCCTCTTTGTTTTGTCTCCTTGATTGTCTGTTCAAATCAATAATGAGTGCATAAAATATGCATATTCAAAATCCATTCTCTTATTTGATTTATTTAATTCCATTGTTCACAAACGCGATTTAAGTCGATGATAATATACAAGGATAGGCGACATGTATATTTCAATAACAAGCAGCATACGATCAAATTGGAGTCAGATTTAGGGCCACTAAATTCTTCTATGTTTAATCGGTAATATATAATCAGTTATTATTGTTACATCTTTCGTTACTATTTTGTATGTACAATTTTAATTTAGACGTCAAGCTAGATCACTCCCTATAATTGGCACATGTAGACCTTTATAATTCTTTTTCCTGAAATACAAAATGGTTAGACGGTAGAATTACTGAAATTACATAGAGACGATAAGATACAAAGAGAAGATAGGCCCATTGAATCAGTCAACTCATGAAGACTTCCATGTGGGACAAATTTACTGTTAAAAAAGGGGAGTATCTAAAAGGGAACAAGACTGATATTTCCTAAATTTTATAAAATCATGTTTTTATGATCTCAATTGATGTATTCGTTGGATTAATTATATATACCCATAGATAATAAAATGATATATATTTGGAAAATTCATCCGAAGATAAAATTGTTGGATATAAGATATTGAACTACTTCAACTAGCCAATATTTAATATAGACTATTCATCGGTATTAGGTGTTTGAAGGCAATCAACATGATACCTTACTTAACTTAAGCTCAATTCTGTGATTCACAGCTATCAACAAATATGTGATCAATTATGAAGCATTATGTAATATCCCGATCAAAAGTGTCAATAATGAGTTATTCAAGATATCATATCAGTGATTACCAGTACACTTTTATTGATTTCTGTTTGAAAGACAATCAAAATCTACATTTGAATATTTTTGATGATATGGATTAAAGTTGGTGAGAGATGTCTCTATATTGTAATTTTAACCCAATATTAGACATGTTATTATATTATCTTTATTCTAGTTCCCAGTTTTAATTTTCACCAAAATTAACATTATTGTTATCATCAGACGAGTTTTGTGGATATTATAGTTGAGATCATGAGTCAATTGAAGGCAGACCGCCATAGAGAACATGAAAGCACTGGACAGCCGTTTCGTCCTATTGTGGGACTCCTCAGTGATCTGGAGGTTTAGCACTTGCAAGCAAAACTGATAGGTTCTGGGTTTGAATCTCACGAGGTTGGATCGTGGATGCACACTGCCGAGGAGTCCCACAATAAGACGAAACGGCTGTCTAGTGCTTGCAGGTTTTCTTTGGTGGTCTACTTTCAATTGACTCTTGATCTCAACTATTGATATTATTATTTATTGTTTCCCCGTGTTTACTTTTTCTTTTGTCACTATGCAGATAACAAGGAAGATTTTAAAAGAAAGTTGAATTGTGATGCATAATTTGTGTATCGTTTCGTGCTTTGTTTTCTCTACGTCAATAGCTATTTTAAAATTATATAGAATGATAATAATTAAAACACTTCACTCGTAAACCCTTCACATTATGCGTAAATTTGCATACACTTACACACACACACAGAGGAACGTAACTACATCGTTAAAATCATATCATTCATTCATGAGCCTAGTTACTTTTATGAATTTCTTGACTCTTAACATCAAAATGTTTTAAGGTTCATTGTTATTGATCCCGGATTAATTAATTAATTAGTCGGATAAATAATTAACTGGTAAGAAGATAATAACTATAAGTCATCAAAAAGAATATAATTAACAAACATCAATTCTGAAGATTTCAGATTTTAAGTATTGAATGTTTAACCCTTTCAAACTGATTAGTTTTTAGTTACAAATAAGTAAAAAATAATTCAGTTTTATGAGAAATCGGTCACATAATCAAGAGCTTAGTAGTAATATCATTCACTATGGTGAAGGAGTAACCGACAATTATTATCAGAAGGGGTTTTGTGGAGATTTAGTATTTTCATACTTGGAGTTAGACACCATCGGATGCCGGGTCAGTGGTTTATCGGTTAAGTGCTCTGGCGTGAGACTGGTAGGTCCTGGGTTTGAATCTCGAGAGGCGTGATCGTGGATGCGAACTGCTGAGGAGTCCCACAATAGAACGAAACGGCCGTTCAGTGCTTCCAGATTTTCCTTGGTGGTCTAGTTTCACTTGACTCACGCTTGGAACTATAACCGACAATTGTCTGTTGAGTAAAATTATAACAATCTTATAGAAGTGTTAAAGTCTCAGAGTAGACCATCCGTTGCCCGAATACTCTATTGATTTTCTACTCAATGGGATATCATACACATATTTATTTCGTTAGTTATTTTTTTGACTGACATATGGTGATATGGGGAATATCAAATCACTTGAGATTAAAGCTTTACTTTACATATGAATGAGAACCTAGTACGAAAATGAGGTTTATGAATATTCCCTAATTGTCTTCAACTACCTGACATATATAAGATCAAAATGTCAATCTGATCAATGATAAAGTAAGTACATACTTTCGTTTTCTAAACAATTTGCATATTGTTTATTCATTTTGTAACATAAACAACTACACATATGAATTCACTTGGTATTGTTTGTTTGAACCTTAATTCACAAGCATGGTTAGCAGAGATGGATATTGGCTAGCAGTGGAACCCAGGACGCGCGTATCCATCTCTGCTAATCATGCTTGTGAATTAAGGTATATCGAGGCAATACGCACAGTATGCACATATGTCAATTAGAGACTGACCAGTTACAGTCCTAACAAAATCGATGGGAAGATTCAAACAAACAATACCAAGTGAATTTAAACTTCACCCCATCGCACAAGAAAGTGGTTATCAGGATTCAGCGGCCGAGTGGATAACGCGATGGCGTTTGAGGCGAGGGTACTGGGTTCGAGTCCCAGAGTGAACATCAACTCTGAGATGTAGGTACATCCAGTTGACGAGTCCCAAATAGGACGAAACGCGCGTCCTGGATTCCACTGCTAGCCACTATTCATCTCTGCTAACTACACATATGATTTAGAGATTATAGCAAAATTTGTTTATCCAATAGAGTAACATTGACTGATCGGCCCATGACTTCAATGAAATTCAGTAATCTTCACAATCTCAAACTGAAAATTATCATGTGCTTAATAGTGACTAGACTTGAGAAGGAAATCCCGAAATTCTGGTAAGAAGCCTTGGCCAGTGGAATTCAACTGTATCAATGATGAGACAGTTACCCACCGAAGACAGTCAAAGAAGGTCACGCGACATCGTGGACTGGTTGAATTTAGACATTAATACCGTTTGATGGGTATATGTTTTTATTTTCTTTCTTTCTTACTTCTCACATGAGTTTTGCTTTACTAAAGCAAGTGCATTTTTGTATTTGGTAATACAAAACTTTTAAATTCCGAAAAAGATCTGTTTTCATGGTTCTTTTAGTTTTCTCTACTAGCATATTCATAGGTAATCTATAAATAATCAAGTGGACGAACGATTCTTAAAATTTTTTTAAAGATTTTTTTGTAGTTTTACATCACTAACTAAACTTAGTAAGACAACTATTGGCTATCAGAAAGCACTGGATAGCTGTTTCATTCTAATATGAGACGTTACAACAATAAGCATGCATGATCAAATCATGGATCAGATTCAGGATCATTTATTCTCGTGGTAAGTACTAAACTTCCATACCACTATACTGGCACTCAATCAATTCGTGATACTGTGAAATGCCACTTATGGATAAATCACTTATATCCTAAATTGCTTATTATTCTTTCTTTTTAATAGTTGACATTTAAGTCAACAGTAACCTTGATTAAGATTTTCCTATAAATGCGACATGAAATACCTAGAATAGTTTTGTTTTTACTAATAAAGATAATCGTTTTTAGGTTTTCAAAAGCTGGAAAAGAAGTAAGAATTAAACTGATCCATAATATTTCGCCACGATTGCTACTTTTCACTGACAAATTATTATCACTTGAATCGATTGTAATACAAGAAATGTTTATTCAATTTATATTAATGTTTCTTAAATACATAAAATCTTGATGGAGTTTTGTTCTCTGAGCTGGGTGCTTTGATCGTGGAGCTTTTATCGTTTTTCCGGACAACATCATCAGCACAAATTTCAGGTAGACGCGAAGTGTTCCCCACATATAACTCACAGTTTGTCCTTTAGATCTCGATGTTAATTGGTTCCTGTCAACCTTAAACCTATAATTGTTTACTTCTTTATTTTGGTTGTATCTCACAATGGTTTGATTTTTGGTCCTATATTTGTCCATAATCTTTCTGTTATATCCCCCGCTCCTTCTCCAACTGCACATTCATATATATTACGAGTGCATACGTTATAACAACTGGCGACGGGGTAAAAAATGGCTCTAACTTCCGATCAATTTCATTTGCTAATCCAGCGACAAGAGCAGCGCTTTAAAAAGAGTCAATTGGAATTCATTGACAAGTTACATGCAAAGCTGCTGAATCACCCATGCTTTGGGGGTGCAACGGAAGTTGACGCATTAATTTCAAAATTGCGTACAGAGCTGGAAATCGATTGCAGAATGAATGAATATGCCAGTGAAAGCCTCAATGAATCCATGACAAACAGTAAATTAAACGAAGCAATAGCATTTATACATGATCAGCCCAGTAGCCCAGTACTACCTGTTTCAGAGACATGCCCTATAAACGGTCCAAATCCTGTTATTCCAGAAAAAGGACGTGCAAACAGTGAATTATCCTGTTCACAGGAAGACAATGTCTTGCAAAATGCTTATGAAAGTGCTGCAGTACCCGCGCATGAAGAAATGGGAGACAAACCGAGCAGTATAGTGAATACAGTGGTGCCAAATCAAACCAGTCATGATGCAAAAAATTTTTCTAATGAATCTAATGATCAAGATTATCTAATTGTTCTTCCAGATCCCGATTATTTTGCTGATTCATATGTTCCAGTTCAAATCTCTTATAAAAATGGGAGAAAAATATCGGATGCATTAAATGATAATCAAGAATCCAATACAACTTTTATAGATACTGATTATCCTGATGATTCATTATCTACTAATGAGGTTCCGAGTAAATTCAGGGAAACTGCTTCAGAAGAATCAAACGCTGGTGACCTCAAATCGGATGTCGTTGATCCTCACGATCTAATCAGTTCTGGTGGATTCTCTGTTAAATACGACGAATATGTTTTAAATAATGTCATAATAATGGTAACTTGGGTACATAAGGATCCAACAGTCTTTCGTGGGGGAGGATGAATTCGAGAAATTTAAAATCCGGATGTCAACTCGGGATTTCTCAAAAAGGGGAGGTATTATATCCCCTGGTAAATTATTAATGGTAAATCTGAGGTCTATTATCGACCAATGTATTATGCCTATTTCTTATTGTACAATTGTTACGTAACTAAACTATTCATATTGGTGTTTCTCTTATCATTAGCTTTATTTTGATCTTTGATTTATTATCATACGATTCTTGAGTTATAATCAGTTTATTGATTACTTTGGTTTGTATAAAAACCCAGTATGTTTGTAAATAATGATTCATATTGCCGAGGCTGTTATTTGTGTTCTGTACTCAACTGGCTGGGCTAGGCAGATAGGAAGGACCGAAATAGCACTCAAGACTGCTCGTACAATTTCAAGTATCATCATTGTGCCGATCAGTAAAATCCACTACCTCTTTAATTGCACGTATATATATATTTCGAGTTCACACGATATAACACTTTTTAATTGGTTGACAATTTGGATTGACTTCAGTGTGCTTGTTGATTGCTGATTGACCTGAATGCAAAGCTTCTAAAAGTTCTCTGGTGTTTTTAGGACTGCCTCTATCCAAGATTTCCACATTTTTCCAGTCGAATGCGTGTCTACAGTTGGACATGTGCATTGATATAAGTGAGAATATATCATGGCGTTTGACCGTAGATTGATGTTCATGCTGGTGAAGATGAAGAAGGGGTCCGCTTTGTCCGATGTAGTGTTTTTCGCAGTTGATACAATTTATTTTTTAGATGATGTCCGGTCTTTCTTCTTTTGTCATCTCATCCTTTGCTTTGCATAGAATTAATTGCAGTGATTTTGTTGGTTTATGTGCAACACCTATTCCGAAAGGTTTAAACGATTTCGTTTTACTTTCTGATACGCCTTAAAAGTATGGTAGAGTGATCTTTTTGTTGGTTTCAGAAGAACGATGAAAGCTTCACGACCAAACCACCCAGCTCAGAGAACGAAACTTCATCAAAATCATTCACCTGAACTACAAACTTTCTCCACCACATAAAATCTTATCGAAAAAAAGAGATTTCCAACAAGTAGTTCAATAAGTGTTCTTAAGTATAAATGATTATGCTTTATCTAGTTAATTCTAACAAATCCCTTTAGACTTATTAAGTTATATTAGGAATAAATGTAAAATTGATTATCCAAACTTACAGCTATCCATGACTCAAGAGTTTTTCCTGTTAAAGTAAGAAATTCTTTTTTTATACGAGCCATATCAATACCAGAACGTCCGACAACTATACGTATCAATGTTGAATCAGATGTTCCAGCACCTTTCATGGAAGTTTTTAATTTTTCAGCGAAATATTTCTGTTTGTTCATAACACATCTCACTGAAATAAGAATTAAAATAAATCAATTTACATTCATTTCGAAATAATTATTTGTGAACACAGGTCACTCAATCAAGACGGAATCTGCTTTCAAAGTCTCCCAAAGGCAGTCATATTGCATCTTCTTAACATTGCCGAAGCAATAGCCATACATCTGTGAAAACGAGGATTTTGTGTCGAAAAGAGATTGGTACAACATTTTCTTCTACCATGGTCTTAATGTCTTATAATTTTTTTCTTCATACTCTTCCTCCTTTATAGGTATCTGCTTCCTTTCCCATCTTCTCCTTAAACCTTCTACCCCCAGCTGGTTTATTTATGTTTCTATGGACCTCCTGATCACGTTTCATCTCAATTTCAACATTAACAATCAAACGATTATTAGTTTCTCTGTTTAAACAATGTTTTAATAACTTTGTCTATTCTATCTCACTGTTACCATGTCTAACGGAAGTTTATTATTGTACAGATTTGAAAGTGAATTCGCCGGAAAGAGAATTCTTCGCTGAATCTATCTTTCTTATTGGATATCGGAATGGGTGTATTCCGTTTAATAATTAATTTTCCATTTACATTAATGTTTTATTTGGTGAATTATTGACTAATATCCAAAATGTTAAGTTCGCTGAATGATCAAACGCTTTATGATATCGTTGTATCCCAACAATATAAAATAAATCCAAATTCCGTTCATATATTTCAGATACAATTAAAATTAATATTTAAGGCTTCCGGTCGATGAGTTAGAAATTATTCTACCTCAAACTCTAATTGGTGAGACTATAATTTACGGACAACCTTTGAGCAACGGTAAAATGACCTTCAAGATGTCCATCTACTTACCAGGGTTAAATGAGGGTTATAAATTAGTGAGGGACTAGGATCAGGACTAACAGTTGAACGTTAGGGTTAGAAATTATATTCAATGTTTTCATCACGAATTGACATCAGCTATAATACCGAAACGGTGTTTAGGCAAATGAATGGATGAATTTTAAGCAAAAATCTAAGACCTGCTATCTTAAATCTGATTGGTTTGTCCATAAATCATAGTCTAGCCCTCTGGTTTCCACTGCTGGGTAGTCTAAATAATCTTATTAAACTGTTTGTCCAATCAATGAACCAATCAGCAAAAATTATACAATTATCTTCCCATTTTAATTTTAGATTCTCTAAAAATATATATTGACGAGTGCCAAGTAGCACGAAACTCGGGTCCAGGATTTCCTGTTGACCACCTCCAACCACCATCTTATGTCAACATAGTGCACGCAGTGTCGAGCCACCTAGACTAGTGGCCATATTGCAACTTGATCGATAGCATTCGATCAGCACTAAGACGGACTTAATACGCATGATATTGATCACCACCCAGTGATCAATCAATTGTGATTATATGAATATAGTAGTCGTTTTCAGTTACAGAACACAAATTATCTCAAAAAAGAACATCGAATTTTGTAAAAGGAATTCAATCACCCTTAATTCTGAGGTTTCACATTACGTACTGACTTCGGTTAGACGACAAGAACTCACTGGATAGCCTTTTCATAAATCTAATGTTTTTTAAACAAATTTCACCTGATCGATAATAGAGATCAGTACATAAGAAAAAAATTAGATTAAAACAGAAGAATAAATGATAAAGCCTATATATAAACAGATCCAAATTGAAACTTACCAACAGTAAGCATAGCTCGAAGTAAATCTCCACTCATTTCCGATTTTAAAGCACTTTCAATATCTCTTCTACCAAGTGATGAATAATGTTGAAAAACTAAACGTAAGTGAGCATAGGATCGATGACCGAGGATTTGAATAAATCTGTTGAGATAAAAAGTATACAATTAGTTGTTGTAAAAAAGTAGTACTTAAGTTTATCAGTCAATAAGTTTGCAATCAAATCACATGATGATTCAATCGCGTGGTGAATGATTATGACAGTTGTAACGAAAATAGCTGGAATTCAAACAATCAACATATAAATACAAACCGTCTGACATTCAAGTTTATCTATTATTACATATGATTGTCTTTATTCACATTTAGAATCCTGTTATTATGTAACAGATTTTGATTATTTATAAACAATATTTTATCTATCAGAAGGGGTTTTGTGGAGATTTCAGTATTTTGATCGTTGAAATCATGAGTCTATTGAAGCTAGACCACCATGGAAAACCTGGAAGCACTGGATGGCCGTTTTGTCCTATTGTGGGACTCCTCATGATTTCAACTATGAAAATACTGATATCTCCATAAAACCCCTTCTGATCTATAATCATATGCTCACTAGTGACTGACTTCAAGAGATATTTCCTGGAGTTCTAGCGGGAAGAAGTGACCAGTGGAGTTCAACCACGTCTGTTATAGAGATATCAACTCACTGAAAACAATTGGTGAATGGTCGCTCAGATTTCGTGGATTCGTTGAAGTTGGACATTAACACCGTTGGATACCTGCCAGCTCAGTGGTCTATCGGTTAAGTGTTCACGCGTGAGACTGGTAGGTCCTGGATTAGAATCTCGCGAGGCGAGGTCGTGGATGAGCACTGCTGAGGAGTCCCACAATAGGACGAAACGGCCGTTCAGTGCTTTCAGGTTTTCCATGGTGGTCTAGCTTTAATTGACTCATGATTCCAACTATGAAAATATTTTATCAGCAAAATATTCCATATTTTGTTGAATATTTCCAAGTTTTAATAAAACATTTACTTCATTGTATTATCACATTGGAAAGTAGAATACAAAGAATCACTGCCGATGTAGTGTGTGCTATTGATGTCAACAGATATAAAATAGTATGTATCATCAATCGAAAGTGGAATGTGTGGCCGCAAAAGTTTGAGAAAATCGAAGAGAAGAGAATGAGAACAGAGGGTGGTCGATATGGAAAATAAGGAACAACAAAGTCTGAGAGAATTGATAGATATTTATTCAAAAAATTCTGTAATGTATTAAAATACATTTGGTTGTCCCCCACTTGTGTTCTCGTTCACTACACCGATAGTCTTCACAGAACATATGTCCGCTGAATTATTTACACAAGTGATCTTTAATCACAGGTTTCTCTAAACGAGTTATCAACATCTTTGCTAAGCTACTTGCAGACTGTTTTTAAAAATTATCAGCTAAAAAACGTTCAGGACAACGGTAACAAGTCGTTTTAGGAAACCTTGACAGTACTCATTCACTACTCCAAACAAGTCTGAATACAAGTTCTTCTAGGATCTTGAATAGTAGTATACATTTATATTATTATTTTATAGTTTAGTTGTTCATGTTTTCAGCTCTAATCACTTTGTAACTGTGCAATTGTCATGGAGTGCCATAGATGGTACGTTACTGTATGATTCACAAAATAAATGAATTTCATCGATCATGACTACTTAATAGGACTTTACGAATTTCTTATTGAAGCCATTCACTACCTACTGTTTATTTATCCTATTTCAGTTGGACTATGTAAGTAGAAATAACTTGAAATACTGATGCTTCATCTAACAATTTTTCCTATTCATATGTAACTAACAACACATCGACTTCAAATATATTCAGCATATTCATAGATACAGTTAATTTCAATTTAGAGAATTTTGGAATGCTCAAATGAAGTAATGAAATTTTACATTTTCATTAAACGGAATTACACAAAAAGAATATTAGAAGCAAAAGCACTTATGAAATTCACCATATTTTTATGTTACCTATTGATCCTCGCTTCGATCCCTTGCGCTTTCATGAATGTGCACTACTGAGGGGCGTCATACTAGGGAAAAATGGATATCGTTCCAGTGTAATCCTAATGACTGTGTGGACAGATCTTGAACTCAATAACTAAGAACATATATATAACGCACACTGGTGCATTATCTTGTCAACTATACCACCCTTTTTCATTGTTTGTCCGTCTATCTAGAAATATCTGAGTGATTTACATTGATTATCCGCACAGATACATTCAGATTAGATCCTGAATTCCACTGCTACATAGTATCAGTCTTTGCTTATTATTCACAATATTTTCATAAATTTCCAGCTGGCTATTTAATTTTTATTGTCAGAAGGGGTTTTTGTGGAGATTTAGTATTTTCATAGTTGAAAGCGTGAGTCAATTGAAGCTAGACCACCAGGGAAAACCTGGAAGCACTGGACGGCCATTTCGTCCTATTGTAACATGGCGATTACATTAAAAATGAAACTGTGCCTGACAAATCAAAACGACAATTATGAATACACTTCGTAATCATAACATTGACAAAGTAAAATAAAAATAGCTTTTCAATATTTTCTAACTTTAATTGATGTTTAAACTGAAATCAGTTTAATGTTAAAGTTAGATCACCATGAAAAACCTGGAAGCACTGGTGGTCTAGCTTCAATTGACTAATGATCTCAACTATATGAAATTACTAAAATCTCCAGAAAACTCCCTTCTGTTCATGGTCAAGATCAAATTTAAAATATGGAAATTATTGGCAAAAACACATAAAGTATTCATGAGTCTGAGACAGATGGTGATTAGTTTTGAGATAGATCTTCTAACAGTGTGTCACTTTGTAATGTTAAATATTTTGATCTTGATCCTTTATAAAGTTGTGGGAAGTAGTCATACATTAGACCAAGAAAATTGTTTAGTGCTTTCCGGCTTTCATAAATTTATGATATGTTATCCGATTGTGATGAAAGTGACTTAATTCCAAACTGTTGTCTTTTGTCTTGGCTCAGTAATTTTTGGAAACCTAATACCGGCATCGGAAATCAGTACAGCACTAGGCAGTTTGATATAGGATCAGCCCTTAGGTCTGTTTCGTTTAGTCTTTCTAAGAATGTTGTTTGTCTATGAGAAATCGTTCTGTGAGAGCATGTTCAAATTTAACTGAGAGTAACGTATAACCATTTGACTTAGAGGTTTCTGTTTGCCATTTTATTATTCACTAACCAACCTGTAAGCATCATAGAATATTAATGGATAACAAAAATCATACATTGCCGTGATAGCCAGCCTTACCTATAGTGACAAGATAGTATTTACGGTCGAGATATACAACTACTGTGTACACTTCATAATTATTGAACAATATGACATGATACTGGTTGTACAACAGAGGATAACTAACAAAGTATCTCTGACAGCTCTCGAATTATATCAGCTACAATTAACTAACTTTATCCTAAAAGATTGCGATTATAATGCAATTTAATATGTTAATCGTCATTTTTACAGTATGGTAATATATCATAAAACAATGAAATTGTCACCTAAGCTGTCGAATGGATCTTGCTTTCATAAAATTGTAACAAAATCAATGTCATTTAATTGATAGGTTTACAGTCAACAATTTGAATTTCATTAAAGAGACTAATCCATTAAAAGAGATAATTTATGGATAAGCTTAATATCTAAAGTTAGGTAGAAATTCAGAAAGATAATGTCTCTGATAACCAGCACGTTTTCGGAAAGAATATTAAATATTATGTCATAATGGTAATGATGATTCAATAAAAGCAAAAAAAAAGATATTCAAAGACCGACTGTTTAGTTATGAACTGGGTATCAATACTCATAACACATATCGATATAATTATAGTATGTGAGCAGGTGAAGGACTTAAAAGTATGAAATGACGTATTACATATATGACGTGAAAGTGTATGTCTACATTCACTAGTCAGTCACGATTAATATGACTAGGAATTTCATGTTAACACAGACAGTTTGTAGAGGTTTTTCGATTTGAGAACATTTTAAATCACAGACCCACTTTTGTTAGACACAAGGATGTAATCGACACCTGCTTAATCCGGTTAGGAAATTCCTTATCATTACGCACCCAATAACTATATCAACAGATTTTTAGACTATTAAGTTAGTGTAGTTCAAAATCCTAACGCCAGTGATATGATGAGATTTCATTACTATCGTCTATCTACCTGAAGTCAGTCCGTATTGTCAACTACAAAGGTTTAATCATCGTAAGTAATGATAAATGTACCTGCAAAACAATAAATGATTACAGTGTAAGGTTATTTTAAAACAGCAATATTTATGTAAGAGGAATATTTCGTGTGAACTACTGGAAAAATTATTAACTTACTTTGATTCATCTGTTCCCCATCTTTGCTCTCCAGCTTGATACAATTCTTCTGCATCTTTACGTGCTCGACATTCATCAACATTTTGATTTTCATCTCTATCTCCTTGTACTAATGCTACTAAGACACGTTTGAAATATCCAGATGTTTCATCTTTTAAATCTCTCTCGAGGGAACGACCCTTGTAAACTATTTAGAAAAAGAAACTGATTATAATACTGATTGAAATCGTCTATATTTACAGCTCACATTTGAGGCTATTAGTCCATGAAGCAGAGATTATTACACTTCGAGCTTTGTCTCACGTTTGCGTGTAATCAGAATTAGATTATTCAACGATTTATTGTGCTACTTCATCAATGAGTATAAAGTACTTAATCATTCCCCCATTGTTATCTAGTAAATTAGTTACAAATGTAGATAATGAGTAGTATTTTTGCTAAATAATAACTCTTTAGTTGTTTATGTAGTAAGTAGATGTACGAAGTTCGATTACACATAACTTACAGAGTCCAGTTATTATTAAACATTACTACATTAAAACTTAAAATTTTATTCCAATTAAAATTTCCAGTGTTCAATTATCAAGTAATTTCTTTATTTTAAATCACGAACTAGTACCAGCTGGATGATCGTTGAAACTTAGAAGCATAGAATAGTCATTTCGTCCCAGCATGGAACTCCTCAAAATTGAGTATTCACGACCATGCAACCACTGATCAAAGCGATGTCTTTTGGTCTCCCGTTAGAACGCGAGACTAACACTACGTAGGATTAGTCTGGTAATATGAGGCATATTTTTATTGTATTGGAATCTAACTGTATGTTTTTTGCAAATTGGATATAAGTCAAATATAGCTAGACGATTCATTAAGTTAGCTTGTTGTGCTGAACGGTTTCTAGATGCTGATATGTACGCTCTCTGTACGCCATTCTGACTCACTACTTGAATGAGGGAAAAAGTAGTGGAAAAACCCGAATCGAAATATATACACAAATTCATTTGTAAATTTTGCCGTGTTCCTCGAATAATTGACTTGAATTTCGACCTATAATGTTCTCTCATCATCATATCATGCTTCCCTATTAGCCTTGAATAAATTTTTCTGGTTGATCAAGTGTTATTTTTAATACATGAATTTAATACAGTTCCAGGTCACATTAATTATGCAAAATCCTGTATTCTGTTGCAAACAAACTGGGATCTCATAGTTGGAATGAATTTTTTCTTTCATCTAATCCATAGAAGGACTACTCGGAATCCGAGTAGCTTCGGATGATTCTTCCAAATATGTTAGGTTAATATGTGAGGCCTGTATTTAACTGCATAGAATCTTTGATTTTCATGCAGCTCATCATATTCCAAAAGACTATATCAAGGCTTTAACATATCTCACCGTGTATATTTGAATAAAATAAGCATGAAAGCTGAATTCAGGATGTCAATTTTATGCCATAATCAAGACCTCTCTCTTTTATAGTAATAACAATCGACTGTTCACTGGTGATTAGTTTGAATATTAATGTTACTGAAGGTTCTACTGGAAGGCGTGATATGTGGAATCTCTTAAGTCCACAGTAACTCAGTTATTGTTTATAATATGAAATTATAATACTCCTATCATATCATAAATGAATGTTTAAGATTCTAAACCTTTCGACTACTCATTGCTGAGAATTCCCAAAATCTATCTAATCCGTTCTGATTGTTAAAAGTTATTCTGGTGATGTCAGGATATAAAGAAGGGTTCCCGTGGCCTTTCAGAAACGATTCACTTCACGTAATATGTTCAACTACAGACATTTCACTAAGCAATAAAGGAGAAAAGTTAACGTTTCATTATGTTATCACATTTCAGTATAGGAATGCAATATACTTTATATTATTTTAAAATCAAGGAATTTACTTACTTTTTGTATATGCTTCACATATCTCCCTTATCTGTTCATTTGTTCGAGTGCATAAAATTTCAATCAAAACTTCTTCATCTGTACCAGCACCACGCATTGCTTTACGTAGTTCTATTGCATCCAATTCCGATGGAGTTCGACACAATGCTACCATACACTGATGAAATTTTCCACTTAGTTCAGAATCAAACTTAGAAGTTAATTCTTTTCCAAATATTGCCTTATATTTTTTTGTTATTATAGCACGTTGTTTAGGGCTTCTATGACCCATTACTTCTATTAATTCTTTTTCATTTGTTCCTAAACCAGCCATTGCTTTTCGTAAACGTTCACAATCTTCTTCTGGATTAAAATTTGCTGCATCTTTGACTGTTGGTTCAAACTAAATGGATAATGAAAATAGAATGATTTAAACGGATACATTTAAAAATGAATCAAGCAATGTTATCTGAATGAATGTAATTACCCTTTTTTATCTCAACATGATTTTGCAAATATCACCATCTTTCACATGATCATCGTAAGACCTGGAAATCGTGCAACATAACTGTATACATAATTGAAGGTGATATCCATAGCTACTTCATTTTCAGTAGTTCTCAATGGATATTTAATCGTAAGAACAATGACTTTCAAAAATGCTATTCTATTGAAAATACTTAATCAAAGAAAACATCTAATAGAGCTGTTCAACACATAACCTTCGTAGATTTTGAGAATTATCTTAAAAATACAATCGATTTTAAAACATTCACGAATAAATACCTGTGAAAACAGGGTTTACAAAAAAATCATCATGTGACAGAGATAAGATCTCAGTACATCTATCAATACCGAATGAAATGTGTTACTGAAGTTATTAATTATTGGCATTTATATACATTGAGTTTATATTATTAATAAGTGTTATATCGGTTGTGTGAGTACGTGGTTGCCCTGTTTAATATATATGTGAACGTGCTGTTTCCCGCCAATGAGAAAGGAGTGATTTATCGATCAGAGCAATGATACACAAAAGTCTAATGAGCAGTCTTGGGTACTTGTAAGTCCTGCTTCTGCCTAGCCCAGCCAGTCAAGTCCAGAACACCAATAACAGTCTCTGCAATATGAATCATTATTCTCAATCAAACTGACCACATCGTACCATAAAATAGAAAATAACATTTGTACAAGATTTGGCCAAATGTGGCTGTGAATAGGGGGAACAGCAATTAATGGACTAGGGATAACTCAAGAATAGTAAATCGTATAATAATAGTCTATAGATCAAAATAAAGCTTATAATAAGAGGGAATCGAATATAAATAGTTTAGTTACTTAACAATTACACAATAGGAAATATACATATTATGTTGGTCAATAAACGGTTCTCAAAGTTACCATTCATTAATCTCCACGGGATATAACAATATATATCTTTGATCACTATTTGTATAAGAATTTATGATCAATCATATTTGTAATGAAGGCTTTATCTGATAGTTTCCTAAACAACCATTAACTTCTTCAATATTACAGATCGACCTTAGAGTTAAGTCTCAGTAACTTATTTTTAAAAGCATACAACAGAACTGTATAAATGAAGCCGAATAATACTGTATTTATTGAACCTTCATGTATCTAACCATTTACATGATCTGTTAAATGAGTACGCCAATAAGATCACTAACTATGACCTTCCAGAGTTTCTGACATGTGTGTCAATTACCATGCTGAACCATCCTCAACAATCACCAGAACTAAACCTGTGCTTTCAGCATGTTCCGTAGTAAAAGACGGCCATGAAGTAGTGATCGAAAGTACCAGTCTGAATTTTTAAAAAATTCCAAGGATGTGATGTATGATGGAAAACATAGATGACACAAGCACACTGTCATACAGAGTATTTTGAAAAGGATGAGATGAATGTTTCCTAACTTTTCGTGAAATAAAGTTTACATGACCTTAATTGGAGTATTTACTGAGAAAACTTTGTTTCAAAATGGGTTACATTATGAATTCACAATAGCTGGAAAACTATTGAAAAATCTTGGAAACATCTTTCGTTTTAGTATATGATTTATTTCTTTGATTTATATGAAACAAACAAATTATCCTTTTGAAAAATCACATTTCTCAATAGGCAATTGAGTAAAGATGGACAGTGACTAGCAGTGGAATTCAGGAGTCGTCAGCTGGATGTACATGCATCCAGAAGTTGATGTTCACTCTGGGACTTGAACCCAGTACCGTCCGTTTAAAACGCCATCGCATTAACCGATTAGCTACTGATTCAGGACGAAACGCGCATCCTGAATTCTACTGCTAGCCACTATCCATCGTTGCTTATAAAGCTTGTGATTTAAGGCAATATCGAGACAGTCCGCACAGTATGCACATATGCCAACAAGAGATTGATCAATTGCAGACCTGAACAACATTGGGAAGATATAAGCAAACAATACCAAGTGAATTTCTCTTAGTTTATTGTTTATAAAATGTATATCCACACTTACAAATTTACAATCAAAGTGGATATAATGGGATGGAGAAAAGGTTGAGCTTATATAAATAGGGCAAAACAGTTAGCAAATCTATTTCTGTGCTACTTATTAGATCATTCTACATTATTTGAAAATAAAGTAATAGATAGGGGTAATACAGTTGTAATTTGACTAGGAAAACAACTCACTGTTACACTATTTAAGCCTGATTATGGCATGTTGAAAACTTTAATGATTATTGAAACATCATTTTAGGAGATTAATCGCTAATGAATTACTTCATCTTAGTTTAAAATTCTTCAGAAGATTGAGATGGTTACTTCAAATGATATCAAGGAATTCTCATATACATTTCCGATATTGAAATTCGAAGTCTTGACTAGTAAAATGGAATGGTATAATTATGACTGGATGACGCTCAAGTTTTATTACAAATCATTTGAACTACTGAATTCAGACTCGCCACATTGAATGATATTGTATTCACCAAAAGAATCGAAAGTCCTGAGTTTGATCATATATTAAATTATAAATACATAACAGCGAAAATTCAAGCTAGGAAGGTATGGCTTTCAATAGCTCACTGTGTTTAATGGCGTTGTAGGTGGCGCCAGCCTCTAACGAAAATAATCTTTAAATGGAATGAAACAGCATAAACTATCCAAATAATCTAGTGAAATTTTACGGCCTTGCTTCACTAACCGATTTTGGTAGGAAAACCAGTGAAAATAAGGAAGCACTAAACGGTTATTAGATCCTAGCATGAGACTCTTCAGCATTTCTCATCCAAAATTCCACAGGGCATCATACTCAGGACATTCAGAATACTCATCAATCCCTTAACTCTTAGATATGGACACTGGTTGTTAGGGAGTCTTACACTAAGGCGAAACAGCAACCATATATGCTTTCTGGTTTTCAATAGTTATCTAGCCAAGTTCGGCTCACGATATAAACCTATAAAATGCTCGATAATACTCACAATCTCCTGTACCTCTTGTTGAACTGTGATCATCGAATTTTAACAGACTTTCTTTGTATGTGTTTGCTTTGCATTGATTTATATTTCTTTTTCCTGTTTTACTTACTGACTTATTATCGGTCAACATTATTTACATTTGCTGCTGAATAATAGTTTTTTGCCATTATCATTGACTTCATATTATTGCTATAAAATGACAAACCCATTCATTTAAGAAAAAAAAATTATAAAATCCCCCTCACAATCTCATTTTATACAAACAAAACCTTCATAATTGAACCCCTCACTCTTTAATTTAGTTCAATAAACTAGAGTTGTCTTGATAAAAAACGCTTTTTACTTATGTACTTTTGTGAATATTGGGAAGGGCGTTTTCACAACGACCTTATAGCAGTTACAGTTTAAAAAGTAAACTACTGTATTGCAACTCAGTAGTCTATTATTATATTACTTACTAGATTATAGACTCACTTCTACACAGGATTGTGAATGTTTACTAGTGATGGATGATAAGTCAAGACATATTAAAAAGTCTATTAACGTAGAGTAATGATTGAAAGCTCTCCATCTACATGCCTCAACATTTTAAAGATTTAAATAGATTTCAACCACTTATAATTATCACATTGTAATAACAGATAAAGGAATAACACAGTCTTTCTTTCAAGTTCCATTAACTAAACTGAAATGAATACGCAGTCCGAATTTGTCGTTATACACTGCTGAACAGTTCGATTAAGAATAAACAATAGTCTTTTCCTGTTTTAACTGATCTAATTTATTCAACGTAATCCACATATTGAATTTAAACCTGTATCTAATTATCAATACCGTCCAGTAGTGTAATTACTAAATAAACGATTTACAAGTTAGTTGAATATAGTTGGTGACTAACTTTATAAGTCTTTCGTATCACCTTCTAGGTAAATCTAATCCAAGAAGTTAACTGAATAGTAATGATATGTTTACAGATGTTATTTAGGATATAATCTACTAAAGATCCATTTTATTTCTGGGTGGTTAGTACTTTTTCAGTATCTTGAAATAAGTTATAATTAAATTTCTCAAAGATAAAATCATTTATAAATTTGTAAACCGAATTTTGCACTTGAGTCAACCAGTAACACAATGTAATCAACTATTCTTTGATTGAAAAAATGATAAGTAAAGCCAAATGGATTGCATGCATGTTGATAGACATATATAACTTACAATCTCATTATTGGAATTGGATTGGCAGATATTCTGATCTGTTCGTGAATTGCTACCATTATTATAATCGTTATTCATTGGAAATGATGGTTGTGGTCCTAAACGAGGGGCTCCTGGAACATAACCTGACGACTGTGCAACAGGATATGGATTATTTCCTAAACAATTCTCTCCTTGTGGTGAATATCTAAATCCACTTGGATTAGATGGAAATCCTCCAGAACTTGGATAATATCCTGATGTATAATCTGAACTTCCCCCCGTGAACCCTGGACCTCCTCCCATAAATCCTGTCCTTCCATCTACGGGACCCTGTCCCCCTACTGAAAATTCTACTCCACTTATTGGTAATCCTTGTCTTCCTTCTGAGAACCCTGATTCTCCAATCGGGTAACCTGGTCCTCCTATTGGATATCTTGAATTTCCATTTGGATAATTTGAACCTTGATTAGGAAAGGTATCTTGTGATCCTGATAAATTCCATGCACTCAAATCAGGGTAATTAGGATTCATTTAGCTATCGGAAGTGAACGTAGTAATTGCTATGTTTTGTATCAATTAATTTATGCATCGTTGTATCTAAATGAATCTTTTAAATATAAATTAACTAATCGTTCATTGGTCAATCTAATCTAAATGTGTAGGTGGACTTTGTATTGAATTAAATATGAAACTTACTATAAATAGTTTATTTAATTTCTGATTGGATGAATTAAATATTCTACTTAATTATCATTAACAGTATGAAGTTAATTCTGTCATCAATTTTGTCATCTCTATTTCACTATCATGTTTTTCTATAATAAATAACACCCTAATGAATCTTATAGTTATTTAAAATAACATATTTATGAGTAAAAGTGGATAACTTAGCACATTTCATCAATGTCAAATTCAGTGTACAAAAAAGTGGCAATTTATCAGAATAAGCAAAGATGGATAGTGGCTAACAGTAGAATCCAGGATGCGCGTTTCGTCCTATTTTAGGCTCGTCAGTTGAATCTAGTTGCTTTTCAGAGTTGATGTTCACTCTGGGACTTGAACTCAATACCATTCGCTTCAAACACTATCATGTTATCCACTGAGCTAATGAATCTTGATAGCCATTTGCTTGTGCAATGGGGTGAAGTTTAAATTCACTTGGTATTATTTGGTTGAATCTTCTCATTGATGTTTAGGACTGCAACTGGTCAGTTTCTTATTGACATATGTGCATACTCTGCTCATTTGCCTCGATATAGCCTTAATTTACAAGCATTATAAGCAAAGATGGATAGTGGTTAGTAGTCCATCAATGAGAAGATTCAAACAAACCATACCAAGTGAATTTAATTTTTCAGAATGTTGCTTTTCCTGGAGTAAATAATCTGATTGTGAAGACTTATATTCATAATGGAAAATAATATCATCACATTCAGATTATTACATAACCAATAAACACATAGATTCAGTCTATCAAACTATGTAGGAAATGTAAATTAAACACCTAGCCAGAGCTAAACGTAAACGAATACAATTATGATATTAAAAATGTACATGAAGAAAGCTATAAATACAGTATCATTCAACTATTCTATCTTGTATTGTGATGAGAAATTGTTTAATCTCCTGTTGTTTTCGATAGCTTTAAATGATATCATTCAATGATAGTTGTCTATAATGAAAACGCACTTCAAGTTTATTACTTCCTATAAACTCTTTATACTAATCAGAAGAAAACAACAATCAGAGACTGACCAGTTGCAGTCCTAAACACATCGATGGGAAGATCCAAACAAACAATACTAAGTGAATCATTTTAATAGTTGAAATAATCTTAAACTACTTTTCAGTAATTAGAAAGCAGGTAATGTGAATAACTTACAACATAAGTACTATATAAATAGTATTACCTTTTAAGGGTTTCAGAATTGAATAATAAGGAAACTGATCACTTCTAACTAATCTATTCGCCAGTGCACACTCAAAGAAAATGACATTTCATAGTGTATTTCTTTACATTCGCTCACAATCATCCCATGTACCCGATCGGAGAAATGCCTTTTTCTTAATAACAACCATTTTACGATTTTCCGACTTACACAATTTTTTAGTTCCAAAACGTGAGTCAGAAAACATGTAGGTCAATCATTTACCAACGCAAAACAAAACACTCATCACAATAGTGTTTTCAGTCAATCAAAATACACAACTATATACTTGTAATGTGAAAGAGATCTTGATCACTAGACTTCACTCGTGACCGTATTTATGCTAAGTATAGAAATGTACTGTTATTATATCTAGATGAAGAATAGGTGAACAGTAACCGCTATGATCTATTTGTGGACTATTATCACACATATTCTTATTGTGTAACCACTAAATAACTATACTATATGTATATTCATATTCGTTTTATTATAAGCTTCCATTTAACCTACTGACTACTGTTAGTAGTTGCAGTACCTCACAATCACAGTCACGTTTTTGGCCTTATTTCGTATAATTGTTATTGTTATTTTACAGTGTGATGCGGTTTGATTTGTTTGTATATAAACACAGTATGTTTGAAATATACGATTGGTATAACGGAGGCTGAGATTGGTGATCTGGACAAAAACTGATGGGTTAGCAGAGAGGCTCTGTGGACCAATAAGAACTCGGAGTTGACTCTGGGCTGTTCATACTGGTTTATGCGTCATTGGTATTCTCAATAAGTCAGTGTTTTAATTGGCGATCATATTAGGTGATATGTTAACTGAGGCATAACAACCTATTAACTACAAATGATCCTTTTCATGATTATTTAATTTAAAAAAGATATCTAAGTAGTGACTCTAAAGGGTAAACTTTAAGGTGCCTTTCGGCTAAACTTCCTACTTTCTTCTCCAGTCAGACTTTAATTTTCAGTTGTGTAAATGACATGTTTCCATTTTGAAACGTATTAATGTGTATTTATGAGTTAAATTGGATGCAATGAGCTGGTCAAATCAGCTATACAGAGCAAATGTCCCGGAACATAATTTGGGTATTACTCTGTCTGATTATTAAAAGCATTACGAAGATCAATCAACAATTCAGTTTTTGAACACGTTGTAAATACCGGCTACATTGTTTTGATAAAATCCTCTTTCAAGGTCGTTCACACAATGTAATGAAGTGGATCAAATATCATAAAACTCAAGCTCATTTACGCAACAGAGGCCTCAACAGACCTTAAATTCGAACTTAATCTCAACTGTCGTCTTGAACACACTTCTTACTTTCTATACTAAATAACCCTTTTTATTACTCACTTATTCTTCATTGAGGTATTATTACAACATATAATTATTCTATTATTCGTATTCATCAAATAAACAGCTATTTTTCACCAGTTAAAAATAGTTGGTCATTAAATAATTACTAGTATCATCTAGGCCAAGTACTTAGTGAAGATCGAATTCTATCGACTAGTGGCCAAAATGCAACTTGATCGATAGCACTAAGAAGAATTTGACATACAGGATATTGATCATCACTCAAGAAATCAATCAGTTCACTTTAGTTTTACAGATCAATCGCGGCCTGACTAGCTCGGTGGAAAGGTCACTGACTATGTGTCTCGGTAACTCTAGATCGAATCGCTCAGAAGGTATTAGTTCCCTTAAGATTACAGGTACACTTTACTGATGAATGCTAAGTAGCATGAAACTCCGGTAGAGCAGGATTTCATGTCAAGTACCACTACCTACCACCTAATGCAATATTAACCTAATTTATTATAGGTACATGTCTAGTGGTTAATTATAAATGCAATAGTACAATTCATATCAATGTTGTTGAAAAGAACCTTTTCTTACATGAATAAGTCTTTAAATCTTTCTAAATGATATCATACGTGTATTTTGTTATTTCACATGTTAAGAAGCTTAGAAATTAAGTAATCAAATATAATAATCAATATTCATAGATGGATACCGAATCGATGATTTAATGGTTGATCACTTGTTAACACACTTAAAGGTTACCGTGTAAACAATAATGATTTCATGCTTTTTTGTTGACTGAAAAAAAAGAAAACAATTAAAATGAAGAACTAAATTGAGTTACAATAGAATCTGTTTATTTAGTCAACAACAAGATAAATTCAATGTTTGTTTACTATTGACTAGTACGTGTAATCGATTAGTTGAACTTTAAAAAACAACCAAGTTAATTGTAGGTATCTTTAAGGATGACTCGTTGGCAAACTCAAGGAAGCCTAAAGAAGCCCTGAAAAAGCCAAAGACATTCCATCCAATCACCGTCAGAGAAACATTCTAGAATGTTGACGTTCAGCTTCCTTATTGGATGAACAAGAAGAATCCTGTATGTGCCTATTGGCTATCCGAAATGATGATTTACTTTCAGCCAAAAACCTAAAAATATTTAAGATTTTTTGTACTATATATGACACTGTGTTGGGAATAACATTCCCACTTACTAGTCTTCTGTCTTCTCTCTTGTGACGTTGCGGGTTCGATCGTTCAAGAAGTCTAGTAGTACTTGGCATGGCAAGAATCTAAAGCTCTAGATTTAACAGTATTCATATCAAATAAATTGGGCATTGGGTAAAGAATTAATAATAAATATACTTTTGTTATATCCTAATAAGTAGAATAATTGCATTTCTGATGTTTTGTGACTTAATTTAAGCCACTTCTTCAGAGTATATAAATAACCGACGTTAAATTAACATAAATCTAAATAGTATGAACTGAGTTAATTGTTAAAATGATGCACTAATAAACATTTTTAATATCATGACTAAAATTCATAGTGCAGTTTAAAATTGAGCTTCAAATTTCTCAAAATAATTATTCGGAATAAACATTGTTACATGTTAGTTACATAAGCAACAATTAACATGGTTCATACTGTGGTGTGTGTTACTGATGTCGATAGATATAAGTATTATGTATCATCAATTGAAAGTGAAATACGTGGCAGCAGAAGGTTAAGAAGATCGAATAGAAGAGAACGAAAACGGAGAATGATTGGTGTGGAGTCGAAAGAATGATGAAGTTTAAGACGATTGATTAACATTTTGCAAATGAAGTATTTACTGGATGGTTCTTAGATTTTACTAAGATATTCTGTAATTTTATATTCAAATAGATTTGATTGTCTGCACTTGTGTTCTCGTTTACTGCAATAATATTGACAGATCCAATGAAATTTATCCACTATTATGTAATAAGCAAACGATTATTAAAAAGATTATGTGTTCATTAGTATGGTGTTATGGATTCTGTTATCTTCAGTAAATTACAAGATGATAACCTAGTCAATTGTGAATACTTTTAAGATACAAAAACCGTTAGCTACATCGAGCAAAATCAAACAAACTGCACTGTCTTAAGCCTATACAATAAATGAAATCCAATAATGAACGAGATGCAAGCGAATTTCTTAATCTGTTGTGTCCGTCCGCCAACATATACCTTTCTGGTTCTTTTTGACCCTTACACATTTCTCTACGTCTACAGACCATGTGTAGACAGTAATTTTACATCTGGTTTTACAAATGAATACGTTTAGGAAGATTTGTGTTTTTATGCGCTCT